ACAACTAGACTAATAAAACGGAAGATGGTACACATTCTAACACAATGTAGACTAAATCTAGACTCCTTAGAACACATAAAATATTGTTTGGGGCATGACTAACATATTGAAGGAAGGTCATCCTTTGGCGGTGGTAACCCCTTAGGGCACCTAGTTGTATACTTAGGGGGGGGGGTTCAATGTTTTAACTGACGGTGCTCAGAGGGTTGGGACGGAGGTTATAATAGTAGGGGTCATTTTTCAACCCTAAACCTTAAATGTATACCTGAACCCTATCCTAAACAGAACATATAAGGCCGAATGCATCATTATCAGACTCTTAGATATGATCCAATTTCTCAGGAGATGTGAACATATTTTCACGGGATAAGTTGTTGTTTTAGGTCTTTAAAACATGCATAACGAAATATCTATTCATATGGACAAACATTGGACAAAACTAAAAAATGATCATTGTAATGTACAGATATACGTTATCATCTCACTATAAAATCAATCACGATTTGTAAAAAATAAAACAGCATGTATGTTGTTAGAGGCCTTTTCTTTAGGACATTATTCATCAGCCTGCTCCCAATACAGTATAGGCTGTCCGATGTCAATAAAATATGCAACATAATAAATTCTATGCTGCCTCTTTTTTTTAGGATAATTAATGACTGTTCGGTATAATTCTAGAATAAACGTACGAGGGGGATACATCCTCTACTTCCCTTCATCTTGTCAAATTCCTCCCAGTAATTTCTTGAAATAATAGTTCTTGGGGGATATACCTTGTCCTTTCCTAGAGGCAGTAACCAATTCTTGTCAAATTTTTCCCATCAGAGAAATTGACGGATTCATTACTCTTTTTTTTCTCACTTTCTTCTTGACATCTATTTTCACTAATCTTCGAGGGGGAGATCTGATTTTCTGTGGCTTGGTCAGATACTTTTTCTTGTTTTCTTTTATCCAGCCACATTGGGAAAGGGAAGGTAATCTCTGGTTCTTTGAGTCGAAGACCCCCTTTCGTTACTTGGATACACATCATAGTGCTGAACTCATTCTTTGTTAGTTTTGGGAGTCGACTTCTCGTTTGGGAATTCCTTGGCTTCCTAGGCTTTTTGGAAGAGATAGTTCTAATTTGCTTTTTCGGACTCATTATTTCCTGCTATTGGGACATTTTAAATAACACTAATCTGGTTAAATACCTCTTCCTGCAGAGGGGTTAAAGATTTTCTTCGTCTTAAGTTATTGGAATGACACTAATCAGCGTAAACAATTTCTCCTCTTGGTTACCTAATTCTTCCTTGCTCGATGATTAATTGCAATGACATGGAATGGGCAAAACAGTTGTTTCGGGGGCCGTGCAAAAGACTTTCTCCTCATTCACTGTTTAGAATCACACTAATCCGGTTAAAAAAATTTCTTTCTTGCGTTGTTAAATATGCTTCGACTGATAATTAATTTGAATGCTATTAAATTGTGGAGACAGTGTTTTTCTGTTTTGTGCAAAATATTGTTGTGTTCGTAATTATTCGGAAGGACTTTCAGAAGTGCAACATTCCTGTTCCTTGCTGGGTAAAATAACGCACACATTTTAATTATTTGGAGTTACACTAACCGCGTAATAAATTCCTTTTCTTTTTTTTCTTCCTTTACTTTTGCATGGTAATTACTCCTAATAAAATGAAGGGGGTTGAATTTTCCTTCCTTTTCCATTATGTTAATTATCTTCTTCCCAGGGAATTTTTCTTAGGATGTTACGCGATTGAAACATTATTGCGTGTGGGTGCAAAATATTGTCTTTTTTGGTAATTATTTAGAATGACACTATATGGGGGGAACATTTGGTTTGTTCGGATTTTTTTAAATATTTTTCCGCAAGTGCATTTTTCGAATCAAATTACCCCAGTGAATCATCCCCCTTCGATTTTGTGTGCAAAATATTCCCTCCTCTGGTAATTATTCAGAATGACACTAAATGGGGGGAACATCTGCTTTGTTTGGATTCTTTTAAATATTTTTCCGCAATCCCATCTTCTGAATCACATTACACCAGTGAATCATGCCGCTTGTTTGGTGTGTGCAAAATATTGCCTTCTCTGGTAATTATTCAGAATGACACTAAATGGGGTGAACATCGGATGTTTTCGGATTCGTTTAATTATTTTTCCGCAACCGCATCTTAGGAATCACATTACCCCAGTGAATAATCTCCCTGCCATTATGTGTGGAGAATATTGCCTCCTCTCGTAATTGTTCGTAATGACACTAAATGGGGGGAACATGAGGTGTCTTCGGATTCCTTTAATTATTTTTCCGCAACCGCATTTTTGGAATCATATTACCCCAGTCAATCATCCCCTTTCGCCTGTTTTTGCAAAATATCGCCTTCTCTCGTAATTACTCTCAATGACACTAAAGGGGTGGAACATTGGCTCGCTTGCCATCTTTTCAATTATTGCCCTGCACAGAAATCTTTGGAATGACATTACACGTGTGAAATTATTTTTTCCTTTCCTGTGTGCAAAGTATTGCCTTCTCTGGTAATTATTCAGAATGACACTAAAGTGGTTGAATATCTGCTGTCTTCCGATGTGTTTAATTATTTTCCCGCACCCTCATTTTTTGAATCATATTACCCAAGTTAATCATCCTCCTCCGATTGTGTGTGCAAAATATTGCCTCCTCTGGTAATTATTTAGGATGACACCAAATGGGTGAAACATCCGGTGTTTTCGGATTCCTTTAATTATCTTCCGGCAACCGCATTTTTGGAATCACATTACACCAGTCAATCATCCCCCTTCGTTTTTGGGTGCAAAATATGGCCTCGTCCTGTAATTATTCAAAATGACACGAAGCGGTGGGAAGTTGTCTTCGTTTTGCATTCCTTCAATTAGTTTCTTGCAAACACATTTTGGAAAGACATTACACGTGTGAAATTATTCTTCCTTCTCCTGTGGGCAAAATTTGTCCCCGTCTGGTAATTATTCTGAATGACAGTACAGGGGTGGAATATTCGTTCCTTTCCTATTTGCTCAATTATTTCTTTGTGCACACATTTTGGGAAGGACTTTACACGGGGGAAATTATTTTTCTTTTTCCTGTGGGCATAATTTGTCCCCGTCTGGTAATTATTCTGAATGACAGTACATGGGTGGAATATTCGTTCCTTTCCTATTTGCTCAATTATTTCTTTGTGCACACAATTTGGGAAGGACTTTACACGGGTGAAATAATTTCCCTTCTTCTTTCGGGAAAAATCCATCTCCGTCTGGTAATTATTCTGAATGACAGTAATAGGGGGGAACATTCACTTTTTTTGCATTCCATCAATTATTTCCTTGCACACACATTTTTGGAATGACATTACATGTGTCAAACTATTTTCCCTGTTCCTGTGTGCAAAATATTACTTCCACCGGTAATTATCTCGAATGACAGTAAAGGGGTTGAATTTTTGTCCTTTCTCCATTCTGTCAATTATTTTGTTGCACACAATTTTCTGGAATGACATTACACGTGTGAAATTACCCTCCTTTTTTTTGGGTGCAAAATACTACATCCACCGATAATTATTCTGAAGGAGTTTAAAGGAGTTGAACATGTGATTTTTCCGCTGCATTATTATGTTTTTGGCACCCGAATTCACGGATTTAATCTACATGAACGGAATATTTGTCTGGTCAGTTTCGTTTAATTTTGCTGGGTGGGGAATATTTACAATAAGATTAGACTGTTTGATCACGCGCGTTTGCCTGTTTCGCTTCGCTTCTCGCTGGAGTTGTCATAATTCATACGCAATTAAATTTGCACAAAACTTTTTCCAATTTCTGCTCATCATCTTGGCACCCCGAACTTTTCGTAATTAAATTAACCGTATGGTAAATCGCTCCCTTGCTATTTGGTCAATTTTTTGTTGCCATGTGTATGAGTGTAATACAATTCATCGAGTCAAACATGATTTTGTCTGTTTCCTGGGATAATTTCCGTTCCTAAAGGATTTTATGGAATAAAATCTTCCGCGCGGAACATTCTCCGCTTCCTTCCCTTTTTGAGTTAATTGGCCCCTATGTTAGTTTTCGGAATAAAATTAAACGTAGGAAAAATTCTCACTTTCCATCTTTTTTTAACGATTTGTTGCCCGGTGAAATTTTTCAACAATCTTAAGCGAAGGAAACACTGATTTCTTTCGGTCATTTTAATTTTTCCGGCTATTGCAATATATGTAATAAAATTACCCGCGTCAAAAACTCCCCTTTTTCTTTT